AAGCAAATTTCTGGAAAAATAGGCTATTTGAAATACGGCAGTGTTTGTGTGTGTGTGTGTGGAATGTGTATTAGCTTAGTTTAGCTGAAAAATTTTTTCCATTTGATCAAAATGATTTCGATCGATTGATCGTTTTTTTCTTCTTCTTTCGTTTGATTTTGTTTGATCGAAATGAATTTTGTGTTTTTTTGTTTCGAAACCGGTGCCCGATAACTAAAAATGAAAACGACATCAGTGTGAGGGGAGAAAAATGTAATTTTTTTTTTGGAAAATAAAATCCCAAGAAAAATTATAAATAAATAAAACGCGCGCGCTGGCTAATGGGATTGAAAGGAGAGAAAAACAAAAATTGAACAAGAAAACATTGTGAATGTTATTGATAAATAACATTCGAATGATAGTTGGGTTTTTGATCTGAATTTTTCTCAACTTTTTTTCTTCTTCGATCATTTCAGCTTTTTCCAGCTTCTTTCACCGATCAGAGAGTGAGAGAGATTGATGGTTATTAATAATGATGATGATGATGGTGGTGGTGATCAACTAAAAAAACATTGATGATGATAATGATGGTGATCAACCAAATGACCACTGTTGTTGTTGATAATAATTATCTTGGTGGTGTTTTTGGTCAACAAAAAAAATTGGACCCAGAGAGATGAACTTTTTGTCCCACCACCACCACCATCAATTGAGAATGGAATTTACGACAACAACGGCGACAAAATGATAATAAGGAAGCAAGAAAAAAAACATTTTTTCGCCTAATTTTCGATCATAATCCAATGTCCAATGTTGTTGTTGTTCAATCGAATCGTCGACAACAACAACAAAAATGGCTAAATTTAAACTTGTTTTTTTTTGTTCATTCGAATAACAACAACAACATTAACTTGAAAAACATCGACCAAGTGAAAAAGTAAAAAATCTGGATCATTTTTTCTTTTCTGTTGATGTTCAAATAGCCCCAGCCAAATAATAATAATGATGATTATTATGATGATGATGATATTATAAAATCATCATCATCGTTTGGTCATTAGTTGAAGCAAAAGAAAGAAAAAAAATTATTGATAGATTTTTTTTCGATGTTCAGAGATCTGATCACTACATGGATGATAATGATGATTATTATTATTATGATGATGATGGTGATTATGATTTAAAGTAACCAAGTAAGCAAGTAATATGATGATGATTATAATGATAATATCGTTAAGCAACTTGAAGGAATTTCTTCAGATCTTATTATTATACAACTTAACACTGTTGCTGCTTTTCAAAGTATAATTTCTTTTCGTTTTGTTTTCGGTTGCTCCTGTGGATATCATCATTATCATTATTAAATTGTGTTCGTTGATCAAATTCATTTTTTCTTTTTCTTTTACTTTTGCTGCTGCTGTTTGTTTGTTTGTGAATATATATCATTTTGATGTTTTTTTTTGATTCCAAGTTGAGAGAAAGATCTTTTGATTCGATTATCATTATCATTTTTGGTTGAATTGTGCTACCTAATAAACAAAATTTGTTTGAGTAAGATTTTTGTTGGCTTTTGATGATGATGATTATCCTGTAGATGATTGATTGATTGATTATCATTTTTTTAAGTTGGCAAATTAAATGGCATCAAATTAAAAAAAAATTTAATTTCATAAGAATTTTACCAAGAAAAAAAAATTTTTATATAATCAACCTAACCTCACTCAACTATGAATCACAGCCATAGTCATAGTCATGGTCATCAACCTAACCTCACTCAACTATGAATCACAG